ACACACGCACACACACGCACGCACACGCACACACATTGTGTAGCACAGCGTGTCGTACCGTCGCTGCTCACGCTGCTCGGACTCTTGCGCTGTCCTTCGTCCCAGCAGCCTCTGACCGCTGTGATGAGGCGGTGCAGGAAACACACCATGTACTCAGGCGGACACAGAGCCGTGGGGTGCTGCTCAAACACACAGAGTGCACGCGTGTGCAAACACACACGTGAGGCTTCACCCGATGATCAGAGTGATAAAAACACGTCTCCGTGAAATCAAACCTGTGGTTTCAGTCTGCGTCGCTCACAGACAGGAACAAACTGACCTGTGGAAACACTGACATGACGTGAGACGGTGGCGCTCCTCGCCGCTCCTTACCCCTCTGTTGCTGGCGTTTTCCTGCAGGAACTTCCTGAACTTGTTGAGGAAAATGTAGCGCGATGCTTCCCCCTGAAAGAGGAGCAGAGCTCATCAGAGTCCTGCTTCAGTTTTTCTCTGCAGTTTGAAACAGGAGAAGCGACCGCTGCAGTCAAACCTTCAGCCTGATCAGACCAAGTGTTACTCGGGGGGAGGACATTAACGTTCACGTCAGGCCGAAACATCCGAGGATGACACGGAGAGTAAAAAACAGGCAGAGCCCGGATCTGTTTTTGGATAAACAGGGAATACTGCACGATCATCCGTTTGGTCTCTGAGCAGGAATAAAAAGCTGCTGTTAGACACACAGACGTTCTTTAGTGTGTCAGAGTCGAGGTTTCACAGTGCAGCGATCCAACTCGCACCGAGAGAAACCGCGGAGTGGCGAGTTTGACGGGTTAAAACCTATCAAGACTGTCGTGTCTGTGACTGAAAAGACTTTCTTTAAATCACTATCAAGAAAAAGCTAAAATGAGTCTCTGATAGAACGTGTTTCGTGATGATCTTACAGTCACAGTAACGAACGAGCAGCGGGGTGAATAACACGGTTGGTCATCGCCTTCACGCCGAGGAGCCGTTTCCTCCCGGTTACGTGATTTGGTTTAAAGTAAATGCTTAAAGCAAAGCGACTCCGAGCCGTTATCGCTTCGCGCGCTCGCTCCGTGAATTCGTTGACAGTTGCTTGGATACGTGTTACGGTGCTGCAGCCGGCACAGCTGACGTATCTGATCTGAACCTGCACCCGACAGAAACACCGGCGCTGAAACGTCTCGCCACCGCAAACATCAGAGCGGCGTCCTGACCGCGGTCGCCATCACCAACACATCACAGCGCTGCACCCACCGTGCTCTTGTCCTTGTTATTGAGCAGCAGCCTCAGGATCTGAACCTGCAACTCCTCCACCACTGCAGGAGAACAGAGGTCAGAGGTCAGAGGAGACAGGTGGGTGGTCTCAGAGACAGGAAGTG